AATAGCCCATAGGTCAAGATTACAGCTTGTATTAGCTTATTTCACAAGGGAATCTTAAACAGCAATCTTACTCACTGAATTGAAATCAGCTTGTATGGATCTCACGTGGGAATCAGAAACTAGATATCGTACTCACCGAATTGAAATTGACTTGGATCGATCTTACATGGGAATCAGTAACTAGAGTTGTTCTCGTGTTCTCGTGTTCTAATGTTCTCGTTAAATTGAAATCCACTCGCATTGATCTCATGTGGTAATCGGAGACTAGCGCTAACACCCACTCTCTTCGGTAACCTGGACATTCACCTTGAGCCTTGACTCTAAATCAAATAAAGACTTTGGAAAACAACTAGTTGGTTACAATTGAAAATTGCAGATGATATTTTCTGGCTAGGTAGGTAGGCATGAAAACTCTGTACACATAGTGTGATTATCATTTATTATATATCATATTATTATATACCTGCGCAAGTTTAATAATTAACAAGTGGAAATTTGTGTGAAAAAAAGTTTAACTATCGAAATATACGTTTTCTTAAATTCAGGTGCTAGACTGGCTGGAGAATCATGGTGAGGTGTTTCTACTGAAAAACATGGGTATAGGCAAGTCACTGCAGCGTGCAAAGGCACTGCAGAAGAGTCATGAACATTTTGAAAATGTTGCTCAGGTGATTACTAATGTAAAAGCTAGTGTATCAGTAGCTGCTGTTTATTTTCCTATTTAAGCGATCACTTGTCAAGGCTTGACATTTGTTTAACTTTTTTGTTGCATAGACCTAAAGAGAGCAGTAAATTTGGTGTCCAGATGTGTTTGTTCATTTTTTATCAGTATTCTGGTTGCTACTGGTTATAGTGACTGTACAAAACAATCTGTTCAGCGATTATTACTACTGTAGCATCTTAAGTCAGGGTAACTGACATGGTACCCAATCATGATAGCAGAACCGCACTGTTATTACATTTTGTGCTATTTATTAATCTATGTTAATTACAAATTATATGCTTAAATATGATGTCGTGCACGTCTGTGTGACATAATCACACGTCTCGTAAAAACAAGATCTCCTCTCTCTCTGTTCCTCTACCTCTCCTCCTCCCCCTCTCTATCTCTCTCTCCCCCTTTCACTCTCTCGCTCTCTCTATCTCTCTCACTATATATATATATATCTGTCGTTTATGCTCGCTATGTGAGCAGAACACGTTCACAAATGCGGATAAGCTGCTGCAAGCGGCGGAGGAGCTTGCGCAGACCGGTGAGTGCGATCCGGACGAGATCTACGCGGTCGCGCACGAGCTGGAGAGCCAGATACAGAGCTTCCTCGCGCGCGTCGAGCAGCGACGCATCCTGCTCGAGATGTCCGTCTCCTTCCACACGCACACCAAGGAGGTAAGCTTGTGTTAGTTAGTTAGTTAGTTAGTTAGGAGTAAGTTAGTGTAGTGCAGATGCACACGTATGCACACGCATACCAAGGAGGTAAGCTCTTAGTATAGTGCCGATTGTGTAACACATGCATGCACGCACACACACGCACACACGCACACACGCACACCAAGGAGGGGCGCTCTTAGTGTAGTGCCGATTGTGTAACACATGCACACACACACACACGCACCCCAAGTAGGTGAGCTTCTCATGTAGTGCTGACAGTGTAACGTGCACTCACACATGCACACCAAGGAAGTGAGCTCTTAGTGTAGTGCTGACAGTGTAAGCAACCTACATGCACGCACACGCGCACACCAAAGAGGTGAGCTATTGATGTTATTGCATTCACCTGTTATTGCACACACGCACACGCACACGCACACACACACACACACACACACACACACACACACACACACACACACAC